CCTATAAAATATGTGACATCAACTTTAAGGATGATGTAATAAACATCAACGAGCACGACGCTCATTTTTATACAAGTTCTACAAAGGTCAAGAAAATAACATCCCATAATCAAACCTCAAATGGGTTTTTACTCAATGTCACTATGTACGGGTGTCAAAAAAATTGTGGTTGGTCATTTGACCTAAAAGTAGATAATTCTACAAAGACAGTGACAGTTACGCCAGTTGCTAGTAAACAGCTTCCTTATACCTGTGCGAACGACAAAACCACGTGGCCCGTTGATCTAAACACCAAAGTTTTGAGTGTTGGAAGTACTCCTAATCCAGATTATACTTTTTCCTTTAACCTTGCTATGCATTATTGTAAAAATAATTACAACATAGACAACAACACCCAAATAACTAGCAAAGATGATAAAAATAATTTTAATTGTCTCTATGCTTATTCCGATAAAATGTATGATTCTAAAACTATCTTTGATTTTGAAAATGATGGGGCTCGATGGCCATTTAGTGGACAAAAACCTGCTGCTTTATCTATGGCCGCAACAGTTGATAACGCTTTTACCTTTTATCAGAACCACTACCTAGGAATTCAATATTCACTTAATAACATTTCTGAAAATATCATTAATCACCTAACTGATTTTTCTCCATATTATAATCATGCACCGGATAACTCGATTTCTTATGATCTTTCTGGCACACTACAGTTATTAACTGATCATTTTAAATTGAATTATCTCAAAGTAGGAACAATCTTTGTTGACTCGGTTTCTGGTATGTAGTATACTGTTATCAAGTAGATGGTATTTTTTTTTTAAAAAAAAAAAAAATATATTCTCAAAATTTTTTTTTTCTTTTAATAGATCAACCAACTTTTCTTGATATAAAGGGAGTCCCATTAGAACGAACTGTATCAACAACAGATTTTTACTATAAAGTGCCTTTTGATGCCACTGGTACAATGAAAAATGCTTTTAAAAATTTTGGTCAAGATAAAGATTCTTATTTGAAAAGTATTATTGGTAAATTACCCAATATGGTTAATGGAGATATTGGTGTATTCACACCTTCATCTTATTGGCTTGCAGCACCTATATATCAGCCCATCGAATTAGTTCATTTTGGTAGTCCAGATGTTAGGAACTTTGCACAACCTACTCTTAATGCAGCAGTGGCAAGCAATATCCTCAATCATTATGGCTTTACCTATTGCAACCACGTAAATCAAGATATCTGTGGTCAATGTTGCTTGGCACAAGCTTATGTTGATGAAAACGGGGGGTATACTTGCCTTGTACGTGGTAGATTTGATTGTGGTCATCTAGTACATTACAACAAATGTGTATTCGGTGGTGTTAATTATAAATCCGATGTCATGGAAGCAATTGAGAAATTTGTTAACTATGATGATTACTGGCACTATGATTACTGTCAAAATAATGTAAACGGTTGGAGCATAAATTCAGGAGATTGCGTAAATGAATCGACTATCCGATGTGATGCATTTCCAGATGGTTGCAACTCTTACAGTTGTTCCTCTCCACCAGATGGAGAATGGTTTGATACTAAATGTGATAGTCATTGCAAATAATAATTAGATATACTACTAAAATATTCGAATCTGAATTTATCAAAATGATTTCATTCATTAATTCGATATTTTTTTTTTTTTTTTAAAAAAATTTTGGGAATTATTTCGATTTTCTCTATAATTTATGTGGAGCAGCGTTACCAAGGACTTTTTTTGGTTAATAAACTAGTTGGTGCCTGCTGCGCTACAGCAGGTTATTAGAATAGATTTTTTTTTATTTATTAATAATAAATATAAAAAGTGTTTATTTAATGGGTAAGAGATAAAATGTATAATTATATATAATAAACTAATTAATTTATATTACATGCATATTTTCCTTGTCAAAAACACATCTTTCACACATTAATGCAAATCATTAATTTCTAAATGCAAAACTGAAGAGATTTGTTTTATTTAGAATCCATAGTAAAAAATTTTTTGACGTGCTTTGAGAAATCTTGTAACTTGCCGATTCATTGATCTATCCAACCTCTTGGATTCTATCTGGCACAATATGGTTACTGACAATGGCATTTTTTATTTTATTTGAAAAAAACTTGGAAATAATCATATATATAAAGACCAAATTTGAAAAAAAAAACAACTAAAAAATTGGAAAATTAAATAAAAAAGGTTGTAAAATAAATATTAAGTAAACAATCGAAAAATTTTAAATAATAAGAGAAATTCAATTTTATTTTATTGTTAAAAAATGAGATGATCTATATAATATTGAACCTTGTTGTTAATTAAATAATTATTTGCACTAACTAATTTTAGTTACTACGTAATAAATTAGCTTAATTATTTTAATTTTAAGAATAAAGATAAATTTACCATTCTTTAATTAATGTGAAAAAAGAATTATTTGTTATTCGTTCGTGGTCTCATTACGAAAGGAAAAATTGTCAATAATCCGATCATCACTATACCAAAATTGTAAACTTATTTCAGTTCAATTCGTTACTCATAAGGTTACACAATTCAAAATTTTTTATACAGGTAAACTAAACGTTACCGATCGACATGGATTTTTTTTATATTTATAGATTTATAGATATAAAGTTTTTAAAAATAATAAAAAAAAAGTTTATTAATTGAATTTGTTAAATACACTCACTAATTTAAATATTCACATCGATTTTTTGAATGCTTTACTGTATTTGTCTATTTTTATTATATACTTTCATAAATTTTGTGTAACAGAAATATTTCAGAGATAGAATAGTACGATAACGATTTTAAGTATATCTGGTAAAAATTCAGCTACTTGTAATAATTCATTTTCTGAAAATAATTCTCGATTGTATGAAGTGATATTTTAATTAGAACAAATTAAGAATGTATGTTTGTTAGTGCTTTTGAAGATTTTGGGGAGTTGACGCCGCTGTTTTTAAAGTTTCATTCTGAGCAGTAGATTTTCGTTATATGTGAAGATGATGATGGAAAGACGATTAAGGCGTCGTTATTTGAGGTGGTGTTTGTCGCCATTTTTTCATTGATGTCAGAAGTGTTGTGGCTTTTCAGGATACTTGCATTACTACGACAAATACTAATAGTTAAAATAGTTAGAGGCCATCTGATTTAGAAGATTTTATAGTTTTATTCTTGAAGGAGGTAAAGATTCAACAGTATTTTTAATAAATTTAGTTAGACAAGATTTTTCATTAATCCATTGTTGCTTTTGATGTACAAGAATCATGTTTTCTGTAGTGGTTCAGCATTCACAACCATAATTTGATTTTAACCTCTAACGAAAAATATCAGTCATCAAATAATCTGCATAAACAGATGAATACTATTACTTTACCAATACTCTCGTGTTATTCTAAACCAAATTTATGATAGTGGTGACGATAGAATTATGATTGTGAAGATCTTTTGGTGATAAAGTGGAAAGATTAACTAGGGAGACGTTCAATATTGATCGAAAAAGTGAAATCGCTATTAAAATTAGACAACTGCAATTTGTGATGTGGTAATTTACCTCTTTTATTATATAAAAAGAAGAAAGATAAAACGAGAATTAAATGAAAGAAGTTCAAGCTCGTTCGTTCGTTCTAATAAATACAATAATTAAGAAATATTGTTACCTCCTAATTTCGTAGAGATAATTAGGCGATAAGATTTGGACAATTTAATAATTTATAACAAGAATAGACAAGGTCAAGATTTTCTTATAAAAATACAAAGGATCCAACTTTTACTGACTCATCCGGTGCTCTGCAATAATAGAAGAGAATCTAAACTAATTCTTCATTACAAGTACCGGTATATTAAAATGTTTGATCTAAAATTCTACTGCGGCAATTCTTTAAAATATTAAGGCTGGGTGATTGCATGAAAAGATTTTAAATTGAAGGAATAACTGTGTCCTCTTTGTCACATGACGCAATGTATATGCTTGCAGACGATTGGGGGGAAGCAAACCATTCTACGAGAAGGAAAATTAAATATTCAAATCATCGTTCTATTAAATTTATTTAATAATGCTTAGTTGAATTCAAGGTCCGAAAATATCCATTTTTTTGAATAGTAAAATAAATCAATAATTGAAACATTACAGTATTTTATCTTGTAAATATATTTGATTGAATCATAAAGCTTATTTGATGTTTAAAAAAAAATTAATACTAATATTCACTTTCGGTACAAAAAATCACAAATTGATCACGGCTAAAAATAATGAACCATCAATATTTATAACGATATAGCCCATGTTCAGTAATATTTAATTTTCTATTTATAACAAATAAGAAAAGTATGGCAATTCATAACTGAGAGTATAATTCCGGTCAACAATTAGTATAGTGTAATTATAAAATTTTGTACAACAATAGCATTGCTACGTTCGGTAATTATGAAGTAATAGGTCTCGATTTAAATAAAAAGCAAAGCTTACTTTTTCGCGTTAAACTTCACTCTTTGCTAAATAAATAGATAACCAACCTTTCGACTTTTAGTCGTAAAAGAACAAAAAAGTTAGTCATCATATCGTGGAATCTTGGACGTTAATTATCTTCGATAAAGTCTGCAAACACAATGTTCTTCTTGTTAATACATGGGCTTTGACACTTTCTAAAGGAAACAGAATCACTGTTAGAACGATAAATTTTTTGATAGTGAGGGCAACTCCAAGTTGACCACGTATTGATTCAGGAGAATTACTGGAAATGACAGTTTGATAGTAAACAAATCAAGCGCCCTAACTTTTGAAGTTAATAAGGGTTTTCTGATTCTGGAGGAAGAATTGTTTATGTCTGAGAGAGAAAAAGTAAGTTCATGAAAAAATGTAAGAGCTTGTAGTATGAAACTTTATTATTCAGGTCTCCAAAATCACTTTCATAATATTTTTTGAATTGTGTCAATACTATTATCAGAAGTTGGACTACTAATAGAGTGATCAGTTCAGTCTTTAATAATGGTTAAAGACCCGTCGGAAAACAATACAGATTTGATGATAAGAATCTCAGAAGGCGAATTTATGGCTCAGAAAGTCAACACAAGTATATCGAACCATGCAAGCATTTAACAGAGCATCATAACTCATGTAAATACGAATTTTCTAAATTACTAAAAAAATAAAAAAAATAAAAAAAATTATTTTGCACATCCTAACAATTATACACTAACCAATTGTTTTTCTTATTATTTTTTCCCAAAGCATATTTTGAAAATCGTCAAAATAAGATGTATTAAACCTCCTTAGGATTCTCTTAGAAAATTGATGAATGACAGAAGATCTTGACATTAGCACAGCACATTATGAACATATAGGAAGAAATCTTCAAACACTTAATAATTCCTTATTTATCTGCCACAACTATAAAGTCTGAAAGTGAGCTTGCCACCATTTAACAGATAGAATTCCATCATCTTCATATGCTGCAACTAATAAAGTTCGTGATGAGTTCCTTGGTTGTATCCATATCATCAAGCATGCTATAGTTGCAGAATTGAACTTGCTGAACTCATATTATAACTAAAATTCACCATCCATCATCCGGAACCTCTTCAGAAAATTTATGGCAGATTATAAGGTCATTTACTATTTTTTTCAAATTGACCTTGGTAATTTTGACTTGAAATTTCTAATAAAATGATTTCATTTGAGGTCATTGATGTCATTTTAAGGTTATTTGCCAAAACTGCTTCAGATCCTAGTTAATGTAAGAGCAAGTGCAAAAGCTTCAAAAAATTCAAATTGGAACCTAAGTTTAAAGCAGACTGGATATTATTGAAGAATCTAATTTACTTGAAGAGGTTTAGCAGGCCAAAGTTGAATCATTAAATCAAACTACAACCTTTATACTTTTAATAGACATGCTAATATAATTACCGTAGCAAGTTTTAATCAAAAAGAGAAAACTTGATAATAATATCGGGGAGAGTAAATACATTGTAGAACAAATTGTGCTATTATTTAAAGCAATATTGTCTGTTTATAGAGAGTATAAATTCAACTGGATTGAAATTCAACTTTTAACTGTATTAAGGATATAAAATTGTTATTCTTGAAATTCAATTTGATACTTATGATAATTACGCAGTTGAATAAAAACATCTATGGATATAAAGAATAAGAAAGATCTTTTTAAGGAGAAAATAAGACCTACTATGGAACTCTTACAGTTACAATTTCTACCATAACCTGAATCTATTAAATAATCAAAATAACACCTTCAATATATTCTTACCATACTTTTATTCTTGTGAAATATCTTATCTGATATCTTAAAGTACTGCCTATCAATAAAATACCAAAGTGTCTATATACTTATTATTATATTATTCCTATTCCTATTCCAATTCTTATTTCTTAAAAAAATTATTACAACTAATAATTAGAACTTAATGAGATTTCTTGATAATTATTTTAAATGGAATTTGGATTAGAATTGGAATTTTTAGATATAAAATAAAGGATTTTAAATATAATATGAAGATTTAATATAGATTTAGAATGAGATAGAATGGGATAGGATTCAATAATATGTACAGCAATTATAGTTCTGATTAACGTATAGACTTGCTTAGTGCTTTAAGAGATGTTGTTTACATCTTTGAAAAAGAAAATATTAGATTTGCAACATTGCATTTACATAAGTGCTTGTTAATAGAACTTTTAACATTAAGAGAGTGAATACCAATAGCAGTTTACTAGGATTCAAAATCATAAGTCAATACCATAAAAATCTAATCATTATAGTGACTTATTAATCACAGCATCTTCAAATTGATCTGGATATCCAACATCAATTCTAATATATTCAATCACTTAGAAAAAGTTTTTATATTTATAATATTTAGACTATTCACTTTATATACAGGAATGAACTAAACTACCAGGTTAACTAAAGAACAATAAGAAAAAGGGTTAATTAAATGCAGTAATATTTGGTACAATCATAATTTCACAAATATTTATATGAGTATGTATTATAATAACGAGAAAGGTGATATGATAAAGGTTAGAAAAGAATTCCTTGTTTTAATAAATAACTATTTTATCATATATTATATATCTATAATTTAAGTTGAATCAATAATAATGTTTTGTGTGTGATAATTATTTTTACAAATGAAGCAGATCTAGAGCAAGTAATAAATATTTTTGGTGACATATGTATATACTATGAGAGGACAAAAATATTGTACAGTCAAGATTTGATAATTAAGTAAATTATTCATATGTAACTTCATCTATTGCATAAATAAAATATTTTTTATTCACTATATATGTTGTCTTTTTTATCTTTTCTAATAATTTATTAATCAAAACCTTTATTTTTATATTTTACTTTACTAATTCTCTAATAGTTTTATTATTTTATTTCTATCTATTTTGATTTCTTGATTAAAAATAATAATAAAATAATCTTTATTTTTCATGTGATATTATTATTCAAAGAACTTTTATTTAAAATATTGGCCATTATTACTATAAAAAATTGTTTAGAAACTCAGAAAGTAATATAGTATGTCATCAGGCAACTATCACTTATGATGATTATTTTTTTTTACGTGATTTTCATAAAAGTTAAGGACTGCAAATTTTAAAAAGATCAATCTTTAAAATAAATAATACCGATGAACCTTTTTTATAAGAATTTTATATATTAATAATACTTTACAATTTAGATAACACTTTTTCTATTCGTTAGCTATTAATAGAGAAATTTTCAGAATTAATAATTTTAAATTAATCAAAATTAAACATTCATAATAACGAAAAAATTTTTATCTTTTTGAAATTAAATATATCAATAGTTTGCTCACTTTTAATTATAACTTTAAATAATGATGATAAGTAGTTTCATAACTTTTATTAATATCTTAATATTAAATGATTTAAAAATAATATCGTATTAATCAGGTAATACTCAAAAAATTGGATAAAAATAAATTTTTTTCTCAAATGGTCAATACCACATATTATAATTAACTATTTTTTATTATAAATACAATAATTTTTAAATATTATCATATAAAATCACATCTTTATTTTACTAATTTTAATATTCTCTTAAAAAATTACTTTTTTTCCCTTTGAATAAATTAAAAAAAACCTTTTCTTAAAATAAGAATGATCACCCAACTTTCTATAATTTTATGTATTTTGGATTATAAGAAAAAGGTTTTAAGTTGATTTTTTATGAAAACTGCTCTTGATTAAAAATTGATGCTGTTCAAGCCAAATATCTAACATTATTATAATTTATCCTATTGATGAAATCCTTACCATATACCAAAGTTAAAAAAAGCTTTATAATTATCAATTATACACTTTCACTATTTATTTATTTATTTATTTTTTAGTATGAAAAAAAGAAATTTTTGATTAGAGAATTTCTTAACATCCTATAAATAGGTAAGTATATATTAAATCTATTATATAAATTCTATTTATTAAATATGATTTTTGAATATTTTTTTAGTAACTATTGAATTCTGTTTGGTTTATTCCTTATATTTGTCAAATTTACCATGAGAAAAATATTTAAATAATAAAATATCTGGTATTACAGATTGATTATTCTCTCATCAATTGTATTCTAAAATCAATTTAAAAAGTTAAAACAAATTATATTCATATAAGAAAAGAAACTAAATTGTAAAAAAAATTTTTTCAAATAATAATAATAAATAATATTCAATATTGATAATAACAAAAATAATGAAAATTTGATTATTATTAGTTTTGCAACTTTTTTACATGATCAATATTGGTTATATTACAATGATAATTAATAACAGATCTTTAAGCTATTATAATTTTCTTTAAACAAAAAAAATTTTTTTTTCTTATATTAAAAGTAGCACATATAAATTCGGTCTATAAATATAAATTAAATGTTTTAGTCCTAATTACAAATAATTAATTTACTGTAACAGGATTGGATTGATGAACGTGGTGCAGTATATTGCAGATCTAAATGTTAAATATATCAGACATATTTGATATAATTGATATACTGGACATATTTGATATAATTGATATCTTGGACATATCGGACATATTAGATATATTTGATTTATTTGTTATATTTATCTATGTATTAATTTAATATAAATAGAGAACAATAGAATCATGTAAACAGTAGTTTGCTTGTAGTTTACTTTTAGTTTCTTTTAATTTCACTTTTAGATATACGTCTAGTAATTCTTGTAAAGGCGCCTGGCCTAACATTTCAATTAGTAATTAACTCTCTAGTTTCTCTTATTCTTTTTATTTTCTTATCTCATATATTATTATTATTTTATTCCTTATATTTAATAAACATATTATTATACCTCTGAATCAATTGCTATTTTCCCTTTAGTCTTGTCGAAAGTATACTATCGTGTAAATTATATAAACTTGAGTTAAACTGAGATTAAATTGCTACGTAAACTTAAAAGGATCACCGCTTGAACACCCCGTCTAACTGTCGTAATTCGCAAGAATTGCACGTTAACAATAATAATAAATTTATTTATATTACTAAATATTTTATTATTTATTATTCTAATATTAAATATTAGCTATTTGATAGAAATTATTTACTATAATGTTCTTTTTTTTTTTACTTCTTTGATGTTTTACAACTAATTTGAGATTCTTACATAAAATATTCAGAAATTAGCATTATTCTTAATTAATACATTCAAATTTCTCATTTCATTTATTATATTTTTAACTATAAACTGACTAAAAAGATCAATCTATTTTAATAATAAATACATATATTAAATCGGTAAAAAGCCTTAAACAATAAAAAACTTAGAAAGATCAACTTCTGTACTTTAATAATATCTAAGCCTTAGACAACTTAGAAGGTTATCTATATTCTAATACTATAAGATCCCAAATTTAAGTTTTATACTTGTTTTAAAATATTTATTAAATAACTATTATATACTTTTGTGTCTATAATTTTAACTATATTGTTGAGAAATTTAATATAATAATCTATCTTTTACTCAAAAGACTCAAAATTATATATATTTAAAAAATTTATAATGCTTCAATTGAAATATTAGATCAGTTAAAATAGGAGACAAAATTCTTAATATATAATCTCTCTCTTGCATTAGATGAGATAATATATTTATTTTACATCTATAATACTTATGACTGCAAAAAAAATAATATACTTAATATTGAGCAAAATAAATATTCTAAATAGTGAAAACATTTTAGCTGATAAATTTCCATCTTTAGATCTAATGTTTGATAGCTTATATTTTAATTGTTTCAAATCATTTAAATTTCTCTATAATGTAAGCATTATGAATTAGCATTTTTTTATATTATTATAATATGTCAATTAAAAAACATAATAATAAATATAACAAATTCAAGAATTATTGCCAGACTAGTTTTATTGATTAAATTAATGATATCTCATCAATTTAATTTTTAATAATTTTTGCCAACAAGTTCTAAATAATTCTGCTTTATTTTCAATTTTTAGAATTTATGATTACTTAACATTTAACTAGT